ATTGATTAAATAACTTGCCTTCCTCAGTTAAAAAGAATTTCCATCATAATAATAACAGTGATAAATTATTGACTATTTTAATACATTGAAATAGTCACAAAATTAAAATTGAACTTCAATAATGTGAAAGATGTCACTTTTCCTAAGCAGAAATGTCCCACGACCTTGCGAGACCAAGTAGTAGTTAGTAGCAATGAATGCAATTAGAGAGACATAGAAGGTATGCACGTATCCTGATTAAAAGTACCTCACTGCTGTCGGTCAGCTCTGTCAGACCCTTGTGAGATACTTTGGATGTTCAAGGACTTCTCACCCCAAATTAACACTGCAAATACTGTGTTTCAGAGGGTTACCAAAAGTACAAGTTTTCCTTAGTGAGAAGTCTCTAAAATGAACCTCAGTGATGTATATGCAACTTCCATCACTAATCTTTCTTATTGCAACACAGTTTGCTGAATGCCAATTATGTATGTGCCAGGTACCTGGATAAATCTAAGTGAGACGGTGACTCCCATCAAGGAAGGCATAGTCTAGTGGAGGAAGTGGACCCAAAAACAGATGAGAAAAGAGGGCCTGGTAAGTTGTCAGCTTGGAAATGCCTTACTCCCAGGGCTGACGAGGGAGCTTTACTGTCGTCAGCTCCCCTGAAATTGATAAATTAGACGCAGACAGCTAGAGTCTAGAGCTGCCAAATACATCCTTAGGATTGAAATATAACCGTGCTCTACGCAGAACTGTCAGAACATGCTGACTGCGCTGTATTATTTATCTGAAACCTGTTTAGAGGTGAGAGAAAATATGATGACGGGAATGATGGTAATAATTACTATAATGAGGCCTGCTCTCTGCTGCTCTGGAAGGAAGCGCCTGCAGTAGATGTCGTCTGGGTTGAGTGGGACAGGGAGGCATCCTCTTCTCATGACCACTCATCCACACACTGCTGGCCACGTGCACATGCATGTATCTGTGTGTGTATCTGTCTGTGTGCTTGTGTATGTGTCCTCACCTATGACTTGTTCTTTGAAAAGGAAGCCGGGAGTAGGAAGGGAATGGGATAAACCAGAAGCGACCAGGCTAGACGCAGATTCTGGAGCTGGTGCTCCTCTGAGGTAGTTTATGTTTCTGAGAAGCTCACTGCTTTTTCATTAGCGGCTCTCAGATGCGTGACTGTGCTGATGGTGGCCGCGTGATTCTCTGGGCGCCCTAAGAGGTATGTTAAGGGATTTTTATCTCTTTGCAGCTCAGGGGAATGCTTTTCTGTATCCTCCCGAGCCAGGAAAAAAGTCAAGACTAACACCTATCAGAGTGAATCTATCACACATTTTTCCTACAGATACAATAGGTATCAGTAACCTCTTTTTTGTTTTTGATCATCAAATTAAAACTCAGAGAAGTAAATTAATTTGTCTGAAGTTGCACAGTTAATCAGACAAATAATGTGTATTATTATTATTGGCTGTATTATTAGCTGTTTTAATTCTCATGTCTTTTCACCCCCTAGTGTATTTGGAATAAGTTTCCATTTGCCTCTTTTCCTAGAAATGAATGCAGTCTGTGTACTTTGGAAAATGACACGCATTTTCTCTTTTTCCCCCCACTCTTATTTTGTTTGCGTTTCATCTGTATCTGTTAGGCTGAAATAAGCTATAAATTATTTAGCCAACTTTGTCACATCTGTGATCCACAGGACGCAAAATTGGATTCTCTCCCAGTCTTTCTCATTCTAGGAAATTCAGCCATGTTAATGACATATTTTTTCCCTAACTTTACAACTTTCTGCTTGGCTGATCAACTTGCAGTTTAAAGAAATATATTCTTGAATATTTTCTATCTCTCTTGACTGAATGGGGAGGAGAGAAGATTATCATCAGTTTAATTTGAGACTCAAGAATTTTTTTCATGAATGTTATTTTTCTTGAGATAAATAGTGAAACTTTTTCACTGAGTTCATTGAGTTTGGGCACTGTGCCACTGTCTTCAGTTGAATGTTTTGAAAACAAAGTAAAACACCGCATAAGACAGCCCCTCTGGTAGCAATGCGGAGTGGTAGGCTCTAAGCTCACAACCCCAATGACGTGGACTTTCTCTCTGATCAAGAAACCTTTGTGTTGATCCCGCTGCGCTGAGCTGTGAGCCTCACTTACCTCATTTAATAGTTGACACAGGGAAGGGCTAATTTCATTCCTGCTCAAGGTGACTAATGGTGGCAGGGCCACAACTGGAACATGGACATCAGCTACTGGACACTGACTTGCTTTTCTTTCTATGCATGTGGGACCCTTTACTCCATCCTTGTTGCCTGTAGGTAAAAGTCAACTCCACACAGAGCGTACAACACCCTGATGGTTTGTCACCTGCCAACATGTCCAGGGTTATTCCCTGCTTTGTACATTCTGTATCTTCTGCCCGAATGCACCTCGCTGTGACCCCCTCCCCCTCCCCAAGCCCACCACATCTACCTTGTGAGCATTCATTCAATTTTCAACCCCAGATTGTCCCCCCTCCACCAGGAAGTCCTCTCTGTCCTCTCCCCTTCTCACACCCAGTTTTCTCTCTCACATGGAACATTTATTCATTTATTGATTTATTCAACAAATATTTCTAAACACTCACTAAGCGTCAGGCACTGAGCTGAGCACAAACCACACGCCACTGAACACAACTGAGCAGCTCCTGTCCTCGTGGAGCTTACAGTCTGCTGGAGACATTAATTAAAGACAGTGAGCACACAGATAAATACGTAATCACAACTGGGATGAGGGCCAGGAAGGGAATAAAGGCCGTGCCTGGAGCCTGCAGCCCCATCTCCGCACCTCCAGCAGCGGCGGCAGCTCTCGGGACCGCCTGCTGCAGGGGCTCCAGGACTGGGGAGGGAGGAGCCCGAGGGCCTCTGTGCTCCCTGGACACCGGCTCCTCCCAACCTACTGGCTCCCCAGCTCGGGCTTCTGCTGAGTAAAGGCCGGAAACATACGACACCACAGTGAGGAAGGGCCTTCGGTCAGGCAGCAAGGGGTGACACTGGGGGTGTGAAGGCGACGCCTCTTTCAGATCCGCAGTGAGGGCTGATCTCCAATAACCGCAATGAGGTAGGGAGGCGCCTCACGGGGTAAAACACGATCCAGGGACCTGGATGGTGACCTGGTCAGAATTCTCTTAACCCCTGCCCTTGCCTTCATGCTTAGGATTAATTAATAGGGGGTTATTACATTCTCTTTACAAATCTTTCCGGGAAGACACATGAATACTTTTGTAAAAGTATTGCAGTTTTTGAAAAGTGTCCAGAAAAGTCAACTATCTCTGAAAAATAAAAATGCGCTTATAAAAAGAGAACATCAATAATAGGCTCAGAGCTCATGAGCAACGCTTGACAGCTTGACATGATGCTCACTCTCTGGGGTTTATTTTCAGCTTTGTCAAGAAATATTTGCACCATTGTAAAGCAATTATACTCCAATAAAGTTGTTAAAAAAATTTGCCTTCATATTACAGAATTCTTATGAGGGTGTTTGTTCTTTTAAAAATCCTATAATCTTTAAATTCTTGGACTGAAATATACTCTGTAAACTGAAAGAAAAATCTAAATTACAAGGATAGCTTGCAGTTTTTAAATATAATGAACTTGTTACTTCTCACCTGTTTTATTCCTTCAATTTAAGTGGGTCATAGAAAATACAACATTATTGTATCCATTTGAGTTGAAGGCTTGTTATGCAAAATTTTTTCTTCTTCTTTCATCTTTTAATTCTAAAGAGTGTGGTTACTCTAGGTAAAAAATGAGATCATTACTTACGTTCCCTTACTTTTAAAGGAAATTGTCCAAATCATATTTGTTCATATGGAATTGCTCTTAGAAACTTTGTTATTCAATATTTTGTAGTCAGCAAAACAAAGTTTTTAATAAAATCCAGGTGACAAATGTCTCAAGATGTTTGAAATCTTTTACTTTGTCTACTTAAAATATTAGTAGTTGTATTAGGGAATCTTATTTATGTTTTTGAAATTCTTTTGTTTAGTCTTTCACAGTTATTAAAAGTAATAGGCTATTTAAAATGTTTATAAGAAAAAATTTAAAACTGTAACATGGAAAGTTCTATTTGCTTTTTCCCTTAAACTTCTTTTAAAAAGAAAAAAGTAATACCATCCAATACATTTAGGTTTGTTTTAAATAGGCATTCCTTCAAATACGTCTATTTGGAAATACACACTAGCTTTTACAGTGCCCATTACAACATATTATTAGTAATAAATAGAAATATTTTATGTTAACTATAAGTGACAAAAATCTTTACAAATTAATATATACAGTGTAAGAGAAAGGTGTTCTGTCAGTTTAATGATTTATTGTAATGAATTTTGATTCCAAAAAATTTCATGGAATAAATGCTTGCTTACTGGCTTATTTGGAAAGATGCTAAAAACACCTCAGCTCAAATGATCTCCCTCATTGGTGCCCCACATTTCACCATTTGCATTTAATTTTCTTCATGCTAAGCTTTGCCTCTCCTGGTGGGCTTTGTGTGGGTTTTTTTTCCTTCTTCTTCTTCTTTGTCGTTTTTGTTTGTTTTGCTTTTAATGTGTTCTGTTTCTGAGACGAGGGTAATTCTCCATGATGCCTTAGTGAGCTTGATCCCACCCAGCTGCTTTGCTCCCTGGAATGAGTTGCCTGGGGGCACAGGGACTCTAAAAGGAGCCAGACCAAGAAGCAGGATGGCTGTAGGGCCAGCCCAGAATAAGGAGTAATGGTCACTGATCATGTTAGGCAAATAGCAGATGTTCTGGGTGGCAAATGTGTGTCAGGGGTACATGCAAATATTTCCATGAGCCAGAGGTTTTAGCCTGAGGGCTTTCTCTAATGAATTCAGCACACTGATCAAAAGGTTTACATTGGTCTAATTTATTCATTCCTTCAATGAGAAGTTGAAAATGAAAGAGATGGTTAAATGCTGACTGAAGTGGAATTAAACCCAGATTAATTTGTCCTCCACTATTGTGTGTTTCAGAGATTGGAGCACAGGGAAGTTTTGGTGGGCTTGTTGTTCCTGGTTTTCCCGTTCATCCCAGCCAGCAACCTCTTCTTCAGGGTGGGTTTCGTGGTGGCCGAGAGAGTGCTATACATGCCTAGGTAATTACTGCTCCTGGATTCCTCTTTATGAGACCAACACTGATGGCTCCAGAGAGACCGTTCTTTGTGTGTATGACAGATCTTTGCGGTGTTTATTACCCCAGCTTTAAAAACAGCCAAAGAGGAAGTTGGATGAGAATATTGACCAGAGTATATTCAGAATTTTAGCAGCAATCATTTACCACGACTTCTTTGTTCAAGTATCTGTGTTTATTAAACATAATTATAGTAACTTTCTAGAAATATTTGTTGATTTGGATAAATTATTAACTGTGTTAAGTAGCATGATTTTAATTAACTTCTATCTTCTTTCTCTCTCTTTCTTTGTTCTTTAATTTAAAAATAGGAACAATCTGAAGGAAACTTGTCCTTGAGAAAAAAATTGGTTAAAATTATAAAGGGCATTCAGACTTGTATGATTACATAATGCCACTTAGCTCTGAATATTTGAATCGTGCTGAAGCTTGTCTGTTCTCTAGTCTTATTCAAATGTCAGCATTCCAAGGCCTGTTTCTTTTCAAAAGCCTGAAAATGTCTCTGAAATGGTTCTGCCGGTTATCCATTGTGTGACCTTGAGTAGCACATGAAGATTTTTTTTTTTTGCACCCATGTTTTCTCATTTTTAAAATAAGGGTTTTATTAAGCTTCCTAAAATGAAGTAATTTGATGAATTATACATAAGAATGAACTTTAAAAAAAATTTTTTTAAGACATTTTTATTTTTTATTTTATTATTATTTTTCTTTTTGGCCACACCACGCAGCATGTGGGATCTTAGTTCGCCGACCAGGGATCGAACCCATGCCCCTTGCATTGGAAGGCAGAGTCTTAACCACTGGACCACCGGGGAAGTCCCAAGAATGAACTTTTCTAAAAGGCAACAAAATAAATACAGTAAACCAAAATATTATCAGGAAATTATTCATTTTTATTTCTTCATTTTGAGTTAGAAATTTAAGTTAATTTTAAACTTAATTTAAATGAGATTAATTTAAGTATTAAATAGTAAAATTTATTTCATTTATGGATATTGAGTTAGAAATTTTAAAATGCATATAATTAGAAATGAATTTCATAACCTTCGATTCCCCCCAAAGTAAGTATCTAACAGCTTTCTTAAGACTTAACAGCATCTTGTTTTGACTTAGTTAAGGAGAGGGTGGCCCTTAATTTTCTTTATGTGTCTACAGCACAGTTTGGGAAGGAGATTATTTCTTGATAAAAACTATTTGATGAAGACAAAAATACGAAATTTCTTTGAGTTCTATATTGACTTAAAATAATAAGCTTATGAGGGCTTTCCAGTATTGAGGAATATGGAGGGCAAAGGAGGACCTCAGTGTCTGTTCTAGATGTGTTTTTGCTTAAAGCAGCTGAGTCAGGTTTTGTCTGTAGGACTCCTGATTCCAAGTGGAATCTGTATTTATTCTTCACTTAACAGATATTCACAGAGCATCTGTCCCAGGCATGCTCTACTACAATCTGAGGCTGCAAAAATAAGTGTATCTCAGGTTTTTTCCCCTCAAAGAGTTTATTAACTGCTGATTAAAAAGAAAATGGTGTCTTCCACTCTAATCATTTAACAGATCTGCATATTCTTTAAAATAGTATCATACTCAGTAAACATTAATTGTATCAAAACTTTTATTGAACCTTTATTATAGGTCAGTCTCTATGCTAAGCATGTTATATTTATTTTATCAGTTAATTCATGCCGTATGTGGTGGTTCACAGCATGTTCCTGCAGTCAGAGTGTGACCTGAGTGTGATGTCACAAAGCCTCTGTTTCCTCGTCTGTGTCAAATGAAGATAATAGCACCCAACTCAGTGAGATTTTAATGGCATTAAATGAGATGGCCATTTATAAAAATGTTTTGTATAAAAAACTTATAAAATGCTTTATATTGTACATTTTCAATAAGTAGCAAGTGTTATCGTTGATATCAGCTTTCTGATGTAGCTAATACCATTATACCCATTTTACAAAAATAAAGCCTGGGCTCTGAGAGGTTAAATGACTTGCCCAAGTGACATAGCTAGTAAGTGGCAAAGCAGTGGAATAGAGATCCTTGTCTGCTGACAGATCTGGCACCTTCCAGGTTATATTGCTTCTCTGATGGTAACGTCTCCTCAATTGAAAAAGATGAAGAAAATACGAACACAGGAAGGTACTTTCAGCTCAACTCCATTTGGAAATCAGCGCAGGATACTTTCAAGAGTCCTGAGATCTGAATCCACAGCACTTGGTGTTCTGAGTGCATGTGTGGTAAGATTTTCTAATCCAAGTACAAGAGAAAATTTTTTGAGGACATAAAGGGCTGGAATTTTAAACAAGGGGTTAAATTTCATTCTTCTGGAAGAGAGCCTCAGGTAAACATTATAGAAGCCCATAATATTGTCATCAACCATTTGTGAGCTGTCTTATTGAAAGTCAGGGATTTCTGTCGCCCAGGTAGGTGTGTCCTCCAAACACCCACAGAATCATGCCAGCTGTGGCTCTTCCTGTGCTGCCATATCTTCAATAGACCTTTTTGTGACTCCATTTCTTTTCTCTAAAACTGGCAAAGTCATGCCCTGCCCTTTTTCCACTAGGAATAAGCTGATTTGGATTAAAATAAAAGTTTGAAATATAAAGAAAACATCAATATTACCAAGAGCAGGTGCCTGCCTCTCAGAACCTATTTGGATTTTGCTGCATTTGGCAAACTTGGTGCAGAGTCATCCAAAATCAATTTCAGGAAACCGGTCTTCATTAAAAAGATGGCTGTCCTTTTCTCTCCAAGTTCCCGCATCTGTGCATCATCGTGCTGATGTCAAGCACCCATCATTTTCCGAGGGTTTGTCTTTACTGCCCAGCGTCTCCTGGATTCATATTCATATCATCACTGTGCCCAGCCAGGCCTCTTTCCCCCTCCAGAGCCGTGGTCTTGGCAGATGCCAAGGCCATGTGACTAGGAAGTGGAAGTGTCTCCTGCCCCTTATAGATGGTCCTGGAGGCTGAGAAAGAGGGCACGTCACTAGTCCAGGTACACAGCTCTGAGCACAAACCTGAGAGTTTAACTCAAATTTGGGGGAACTGGGGTTGGAGGAAGCCGAGGAGTTTTTGAGAGAGCCATTGTACCTCTCACAAACCCCAGCCTTCCTTCACAGTCATTGTTGTAAGTAGCACCATAAGGGAGCTGGTTTTTTTTGTTTGTTTGTTTGTTTGTTTAATTAATTAATTTATTTTTATTTTTGGCTATGTTGGGTCTTCGTTTCTGTGCGAGGGCTTTCTCTAGCTGCGGCAAGGGGGGGCCACTCTTCATCGCGGTGTGCAGGCCTCTCACTATCATGGCCTCTCTTGTTGCAGAGCACAGGCTCCAGATGCGCAGGCTCAGTAGTTGTGGCTCACGGGCCTAGTTGCTCCGCGGCATGTGGGATCCTCCCAGACCAGGGCTCGAACCCGTGTCCCCTGCATTGGCAGGCGGACTCTCAACCACTGTGCCACCAGGGAAGCCCCAAGGGAGCCGTTTTAATTATGGTGCTGGATTCCATTGTTATCTAAAATTGTGCAGCTGAGTCAGAAATCAAAACCTCTGTGGGGAAACTTCTGTGCTGTGGCTTTAGAGAGTTTCTAATGACTTCATTGGAGGCAGTTTATACATGCTGACAGTTTTCATGAAAATGGGGACTTTTCTCCAAAAAAGATTTTACTCAGCAGAGACCAGCCTCCCCCATCTCAGTGGAGAATGGTAGACAGTTGGGTAAGGAGCTGCTGGAATCTTCCTCAGGGCTGCAGAGAATGTTGCAGACGCTGCAGGCATTCCTTGGAAGGTGCCAGAGCACCAGGTGATGCCCGGTGCATTTAATAAACCTACACGCTGGCTTCCACGATGCTGAAGGATGTGTCCAAGCCTTTTATACACACGGGAATCTCTCTGCATGGAAGATTCTCTTCTCTCCTTCCATTATTGACCTTGACAAGAAAGAGCCATTCTCCATAGCATTCGTACCCAAGTGCTTTGAGGAAAACATGTACTCTGTGGCTTTCTTGAAAATTCAGATCATCATCTTTATGCAGAAAATCCATGTTGTCTTGAAAACTTCAGCAAACAAGAGGAAGATGAAATAGAAAGCTCAGTTGGTAGGTGAACTTCCTACTCATTAAATATTCAAGGTAAGGAGCCAGTTTCCAGCCTCGGGATCCCATCCATGAACACTACAGAGGTCACGTCCACCCTCACCGAAGCCCAGGCGAGTTTCCTATATTTTTGGTATTAAAATATCCCAGGGAACTGGTTTGGCCATTTTACAAGAAAAGCCCAGAACGAGTCGGACCAACAGTGCTCTTTCATCCTCTGCCTTTCTCCCTGACAATGAACAAGCCACTTAAATCTTCTAGCTTCTGTTCTCCCTCCATCCTAACCCAGCACAGACCCAAAATATCACCTGCCTCTCACTTGCACTTTGAAATCTGTGGATAAAAGGGACAGAAATGGGCACTTTATTTGGCACTGCATGGCATTAGGGTCAGAGTTTTACCACCAAAAGTAATTGGAATAATCTTTTCTTCTGGTGATAAATGCCAATTTTATGGATGTCTTTTTTGAACAGGCAGGAGAGTTTGGGGCTTAAATCATTCTTTCACAGAAGTTTTGATCTCTTATTCTTATCTCAAGAGAAGCGTATAATTTAATGGCTACTTTTTTGTGTTTTATAAAAACCACATTAGAATGCTTCAAAGGACTAAAATTTCTTAGAATCGATGAAGCAGAAATAGTTGTTGAGAGCTCTCCAATAAAGTTGTAGAATGTGATCAGAGATCCATTCACATGCCAGATTAAGGATGATTTATTCGCTTCAGTGCCAAAGAGCAAATTCCTAAACTACTTTAAGAAAACATGAATGAGTGGAGAGGGGAAAAGAACGGACAGAAGTAAGTGAAGGCAGAACCAATAATGTGGTTGGAACTGATCAAGAAAAACTGGGATCACAGAAGAAGAAGTTAGACCACCTGTGTT